TGTCTTTCAACAAAAAACTGTGGATTCCTCCTTTCACCACGTCGCCTTCTAACCCTGGCAGGACCATCGTGCATGCCTAAACAAAATCGAGACTCGTCACTAAAGACAATACTGTTCCATTCCTGATCCCAGAGTGACCGTTGTCTGCACCACTCAAGGCGATTACGTCGGTGTTCTCGAGTTAAAGGGAGGACCCAGTGTGGCCGGTATGAAAACAAGCCAAAACTTCTCATTCGTCGGTAAACACTTCGCATGCCAATAGGTCTTCCGTATTCTGCAAACCATTCATTTGCAATGGACCTGGTAGTGGAGAAACGGTCCCTTAAGGCCAATAATCTTAGGCGGCGATCTTCACGGTCTGTTGTTCTACGGCAGCGTCCAGTGCCCCTTGCTCTTTGCGTACGGCCTTCTCGAAGCCATGCCTGACAACACCTAACCACAGTGTACACTTCTTTGCACTCTAACTGCAATTGCCCGAAAAGAAAGTCCAGCTTCCCGAAGTCCCACTATACGGCCCCTATCAAACTCACTAAGTTGACGAAATCGTACAGGTCTCCGTACTCTAGGCATCGTAACCGATCGTAAAGGATGTCAAGAACCAAAATCCGCCAACGTTGATTCTTTACTGCGGCTGAAATATTCATTTTTAGAGCGTTGGTGAATTAAAAAAAGCAGTATAAAAACCGGAATGTCCAACTGATAAGGCTGAAAATTTTTTCACTTGTTATTTACAGTAAGATAAATACATTCACCAACTTTTATTAAAACAAAACCATTTAAATTGGGTGTTCGGATTTATATGTCACTTAGTATATGTAATGTGCCGTATTCATAATTCACTTGATAGCGTTTTAGATATATTTTCGTTTTGTTCGAGATATTAACATTTATTTTCATTCACGCTTGCGTAAATGTTGGTGGGTAGGCGAAGCTTGATTTCTTTATCCATGCTGTAATTGGCTTTGGTTGCTGAATGCTACTGAATAATAAAAAAAAGTAAAAAAATCCGTGTTTTCAGAAGTCCTACGTTCTACGATTGACTATTCAGAGCCTGAGCTTCAGTTTCTGTTGAAATGTTGCCAAAAGACTGTTAGGAATGATGATGATCTGATTTACATTGAATCCAAATTCAAGATGAGATGTAAATAATAACAGTTAGCGCGTGATCTCTCGGTAACAGATGGGGACAACGCCTCTTATTGGTCAATTCGCCATTAAATTTCAAGCGGTCACCTGGCGGAATAATGCGCGGGGCAGGGGCAGGGCAGGCAGAGTTGCATTCAGGCCACCGACCGTCGCGTGTATCACTGCGTGCTCGTGTTTTCGTATTCACCTTGCTTAGCGTAGCCCTGAATGCGGCCCTGTACGCCGTCCTTGCTTTTGGCAATCACGCATCCATTCTATCTTGGGTGTAAATACACTATAGGAACCTATGCTGCAGTCAGAAAATCAATCAGTGGAGGGATTCTTCTCAATAACACTGTCGATTGGATTCTTCATTACAGAAACTCAAGTATTTTGTCATAAACACGAAAAACATCGCACACTGACAAATGGTTCGCCAAAGTTGTTACTTCTCGGTCCATACGCTACAAATGACACAAGACTCCTACGTCTTCGACCTATATTGAATGACAGTTAGTCTATAAACGAATCAATGGCCACCGTCATTAAAAGGAGGACCCGTCAGTTTGCCTGACATATACAGTACTGATGATTGCTGAAAAGCATAAAATAACATTGTATGCTTACAGAGATGGAAATATTCAGTTCAAGAGTAACATCACTGATGTTGATTCATTCATTAATGTGTGTTCTATTTCGAGTAACTTTCAACTCCTGTTTATTGTTAGATGAAACGTTTCAGTGATCCTCATTTCGTGATTTTTTTAACACTTATGGAAAATATCAAATCAAAAGAAGCGAAGAGCGGGAACTCTTCACACGTTTTTCCAGTCCGCTGATTTGTATATCTGCTTACATTGGTCTGCTACTTAGAGCTCATTAGAGAAAAGCAGAAAAGTAATTCATGATGGCATGTATCCTTGACATATCCATAATGAAACATAATAAAACTGCAGTAAAATAAATTGTAATTGGCGTGATGATCATTCCCAATCCTTATGTTCATTCACATGCATACCAAATCATGTTTATTTGAAATTTATTTCTGGTCGCTATTAAAGACTTCAGCACTATAATCAGAATTAGCTCAAACGCCTCTCATTTAAATGAGGATACAGACAACAATGGCTTTTAAAAACGAGAATTTATGAATCCAGACTACCATGGCTATATGAAGCGCGAGGTATTTTTCTACATTTCTGTTTCGACGTATCAACATTTTGCCCCCGTTTTGAGTGGTTTCACTTTTTACTTTTCACGCCAATCGACAAAATCCTTGAATATTACATAACATGTACATCATGAAAAACTCACTTCCGTCGGTCTAAATGTCTGTGTCTAGATGTCTGTCAGTATGTGGACACAAGGTTCTCACAGTTCCAAGACGAAAAAGCTTTGTAGGCTCTGAAAGTTGATCCAGCAGCAGCGGAACTACGTGAAAAAATCACTCAAACTTCGTCTGTTACGTTGCAGATACTCATGTAAAGTATATCTGAAGTCACTTGAATTAGCATAAAAACCTTTGGTCGGCGCGTCCTTTGAAATTTCATGACGTATCATAGGCGTGCGGTGATTTATTTAGATCGATAATAATAATGTTTTTATATCACAATAAATGGATTTTACTATCTTCTTATTTTTTTTGATTTGGGATAAAAAATACTTATATTGGGAGTTTAATTTATGTTGACTGAAAGTTAAGAAATGGAAAAATTACAGAATTCCAACGTTTGACATAGGCAAATATTTACATAGCAGGTAGGTATATAAAAAGGTATATAAAAACTTACATTATAGGTATTTATATATCATCCTCGCCTTCGGAGCTGTCGCTAGAGTCTTCTTGTAGAGGAATTACAACGGGATTTACAGGAGGCAAAACACAATATTCATTTTCTTTTTCAATAATATGCCTAGAACACTGCTTCCATAGGTCTGTGGCAGCAATATGCTGCATCTCTTATTGTGGCCAATAGCGATTCACTTAATTGAGGGGTCTGATTATGTTTTCTTACTTTTTTTTTAAAGCAGCCCAGACCAACTCAATCGGGTTAAAAATGCAGTAATAGGGAGGTAAACGTAATACTTCATGGCCATTTTGCTGAAGCAGATTGTCAACAACATACTCTTTTTCAAATTTTTGTCTTTTAATAAGATCCAATAATTGATTTTTGTGGTATTTCCATTCCCTTATCCTTCATAAAATCAATAATGTCTTGTTTTTTTGTGCCTGTATTCGGAATTTTGTTTTTCTGTCGGGAATGGTATGGCGCATTGTCCATAATTATCACTGAATTTGGGGAAATGTTTGGTATTAACTGCTGGTCTATCCACTTTTCAAATAAGTCGGAGGTGATGTCCTCATGATAGTCGGCACATGATTCTTTGATATTTTTGGCAGATAACAGCAAGGCATTAGGTATAAATCCATTTTCACTGCCAGCATGGAGAATAATGATTCGTTTTCCACGGTTGCATGGTGCATTTAAAATGCACTTGTTGCTGTCGTCAACCCAGCCGTACTGCACAACATCATGGGTATCATACCACGTTTCATCCAGGTAAATCAGATTTCTTTTCTGCTCTCTATAGGTTTTAACTTTGTGCAAAAATTCTTGGCGCAATTCAACGATCGAGACGACTCCATAATCACCATTCTTTTATCTAATTTTTTGTATTGAAAACCACACAGTTTTACAATACAGTGCAGTGAGTCTAAGCATTTGTAATTAAAAAAATCTTCAGGATAATCTTTTAATTTATCCCGTATCATTTCCAACGTGGGCGCCAAATTTTCTTTATAAAATCCGTATATTATACGACGAATATCTTCCTGAAAACCTACGTCTATTCTTTTTAATTTTTGCCCTATGCGCTTTCTGTGGAAGGAATGGTTGACTACATCTCCCCTTTTTATAACCCGATAAATGGTAGACCGACTGATTTTTGTCAGGATACAAATTCTGTTTAAAATTTGATTTTGCGAGGAATCGGGATTTTCGTTTTTCAGACAATCATACATATTTAGGATTACTCTTTGGGTCTGTCCCTCTAAATCTTTATGAAAGAATTCTGCCTGCACAGGTTCATCAACCATCTCCTCGTGGCTTGGAGCATTTTCCCAAGGTCTCCAAAGAGCCATATTTAGGACACACAAGAACAATCAACACAACAATTAAATCAACAAGTAAACTGAGTATTCAAAAGTCAAAAACACACAAACTAATAAAATCTATGAAAAAACACGGACAGACTAAAGAAAACACGTTTATTCACCGCTACACGGCACTGGCTAAACTGTTTCAATTTTCAGTAGCCACCTGCATTTTTTCGGAGCTCTCAAATACACGCTTTCTCATTGGCTATGTCCACGCATAGGCGTGCTCTACTCCACGTGGACCGGTGAAACTGCCTTTGATCTTATATATATATATTTGCTACGAAATTTGGCGATTTTTGCAGCAACAGAGCGTGTTAAATATAGATATATAAAAGGCAACCGGTATTTCACAGTGTTTCAAGTGACTTAAAGTCCTGATTTTTTTGAAAAATTGAAGATTGGGGTTTGTTGCTACTAAAACTTATCTAATTTCAGCACAGTGGACGCACTACTATAAATTAATCTTTATGTTGCGCTGGGTCCGCAGCTCGAGTTAAATTTGGAACACCCGGTATATTGGAAATAACGGTAGCGAAACAAGCACATGGCGCCCCGCGGTATGTCGTGACGTTATGCTCAGCAAAATTTCTTCGGCATATAACTGCTCATATTTCTCCAAGAGTCATGTAAACGTTCATAGCGGAAGTATACATATACATTATAACATTCGTACTGGAATTGAATGGATAATAAAATTTCGAAAAAACCCACTCACCCAACACAGGCACGGAACAGCCATCGTGTCTGTCTTGGCAGCATCCTATTGTCTCGCAGTACGGTCCCTGAATATCAGAGAAATCGTCCAGAGGCAGTGCAGTTGCTATCGAGAATACACTAGTACTGAAGAGGATGCTCTTCAGCATTTTATTTAACGTCATCTGCAAAGAAGAAATCAAAATTAATTCCATCAGACTAAGGATCAGGGTCTATAAGCGGGAGTTTCGCCCTAAAAATAACTCAAACTTCAAGTTGGTCGTATCTAAGAAATGGAAACGGAAGAACTTTTAAAATTTCTCGACAATAATAACACTGATCAACAGCCAAAAAATATCCTAAATAAAATCAACAAAATATTACTATTTTTAATGTTCTAAAACCGGAATGAAACTTATTTTTTCAATATTAGTTCAAGTTTTAGAGATACGGTAATTATATGTGTTCCTGTGACAGTGTTAATTGACTGTAATTCACAATAATGCACGTGCTACATTTTTATATTCGGCAAGGAAAGATGATGTAATCGGCATGATTGTGTTACGTTATACATACGTGTACATTATATTGTTTTATATTAGCCATTTTTTCCTCAGTCGGCTGACAGCGTTCATGCAAGATGTCTCGAAAGTGTGTAAACAATCCAGATCAGTTTTGTTACGTGTGTGGTGATGTGACTTTTGCGTCTCAGAGACGGTCTATTACTCCACTAATAACAAAGGCATATCAGCTTTATTTCGGTTGTAAGGTTGTAAACTAGGTGATCAAGACAAACAGTGGGCACCCCACATCTGCTGTAATACATGTGCTTCAAGTCTGAGGAGCTGGTTAAATGGCAAAAAACGGTCTATGCGCTTTGCTGTCCCAATGGTTTGGAGAGAGCCTACAAATCATATTAATGATTGTTACTTTTGCATGATACCTTGTGTTGGACAAGCCACAGGTATGCCCAAGAAAAAAAAATCGGTTATTAACTACCCAAACATACCATCTGCGATGAGACCTGTGCCTCACAGTGACGAAAATCCTATTGCAAAACCCCCAGAATCCTACACTTGCGAACCAGAAAACGAATCAGATCATGGGATCGAGTGATTCGTCAGGAAGAAGATATGCCATCAACGTCAAGAGATCCTGATTTTATACCGAGCACGTCATGCCACCAACCGCACAAAATAACACAGTCAGAATTAAATGATCTTGTAAGATATTTAGAACTTCCAAAATGTAAGGCAGAGTTACTTGGATCAAGACTGCAGCAGTGGAACTTGTTAGAAGACGATGTTTCGGTATGTGTTTTTCATAAATGCCACAAAGACTTAGAACCATTTTTCAATATGGAGAATAACTTGGTTTTCTGCAGTAACATTAACGGCTTACTGGCGGCTTTAAATATAAACTATAACCCAGAAGAATGGAGATTGTTTATATACAGTTCAACATTGAGTTTAAAGGCAGTGTTATTGCATATTGGAAATATTTTACCATCTCTTCCTGTAGGGTATGCAGTTCACACGAAAGAATCATATGACAATATGAAGTACCTATTGACATGCATAAAATACGATGAGCACCAATGGCATATTTGTGGCGATTTGAAAGTTGTTGAACTTTTACTTGGGCTGCAGCTAGGCTACACAAAGTTTTGCTGTTTTTTGTGTGAATGGGATAGTCGGGCAAAGGCACTTCATTACACCAGACAAAACTGGCCTGTTCGTCAATTCCTAGAGCCAGGTCAAAAAAATGTACAGCATATGCCATTAGTAGATTCGAAAAAAAATTTATTACCATGGGGTCAGCTTTTCAATACCTGCGTCAGAAATTTCCAAGACTAAGTGAGGCAAAGGTTAAAGAAGGTATTTTTGTTGGGCCACAGATTCGAAATATTTTGAAAGATACACAGTTTGAAAACACTTTAACAGGTATTGAAAAAACTGCTTGGAATGATTTTCGTCTGGTGGTCACTAATTTCTTGGGAAATAGAAAAGCTGACAACTATAAAACCCTTGTCAAAAATATCGTATCAAAAGATGGGCTGTAATATGTCTCTTAAGATACATTTCCTACACTCACACCTGGACTTTTCTCCTGACAATTGCGGAGCCGTAAGTGATGAGCACGGCGAACGTTTTCATCAGGATATTTCAACAATGGAAAAAAGGTACCAGGGAAAGTGGAATCCTTCCATGCTTGCAGACTACTGTTGGACTCTTGGTAGAGATGCTCCAGAAACGATCCATAAATGAACAGCAAAAAGACAGCGCATATAGTGATTCGTATAAGTATATGAATCTTGTTACTTTTTTTAATATATCCTTAAAAATAAAAAGTTTTTTCTAAACCGCAACTAATTTTTTTATTTCATTGTCATTTTTGGATTCAGCGCCCCAAAATTAACAAAGAAGTGCACTTTTCCCACAAGATACAATTAAAAAACTAACATTTGTTGTCCAGTGTAATCTATCTATCTATTGAACATGATAAGGAGCTTATGTTAGGGCAATAGACGATGAATGTAACCGTGGGAGTGTCACAGAGCTATAAAAGCTTTCGCCTGTTAAAAAAAATATCTTGACGCTGATTTGCTAAATATACTTCCTTCGTTTACATTGAGGTACATTGATTTATTGGCTACAGAAAAATGGGAAAAGGGTATCATGAGTAAGTATTCTTTAGGTCGACAGCATGATGAATTTTAGATCGCTGCACAAATACAGGGTGCGACAAACAGGACGGACGTTTTTGGGATGGGTAGTAGGTACTCTCCGCGTCCGTCTACGGGAGAGGCGGGGAGGGTGACGTTTGACTCGTGAGATCCTAGCATTATTTCACCGCGTTTTCGCCTATGATTGGTTCGTCCGAGATAATGAGTCAGTCATCGTCGTACAGCGTGAGTTTCGTCGCCACTTCAACATTCATCGGAATAGAGCTGTTCCCTCTCGAAACACCATCCTTCGTTGGGTTGAATCACTTCGCAGGCGTGGTGAACTGATCAACAAAAGACCAAGAGGAGCGCCGCGAACAGTTCGAACTCCTGAAAATGTTGAACGCGTTCGACAGGTCTTTCTTCGCAGTCCGACTCGATCTGACCGGAAACATGCTGCACTTCGCCTTAGCGATCGTTCGGTAAGGCGAATTTTGCATATGGATCTCCGCTTTCACCCCTACAAATTGGCCATTGTGCAACAGTTACATCCCGGAGATTATGCACAATGAATGAACTTTGCACGTGAGATGGAAGCACTGATCGATCAAAATGAGAACCTCATTTTGTTTATGAGTGACGAAGCCCACTTTCACCTAAACAGCATGGTTAACCAGCAGAATTGTCGTTATTGGGCTAATGAAAATCCGCAACAGTTACACGAAAGACCGCTGCACAGCCCAAAAGTAACGGTTTGGTGTTGGAGAGAGTCTACGCGAACTTCCAAGAACGCCTCCAGCACTGCATCAACGATTTCGGCCACCACATGCCTGATGTGATTTTCCACACTTGACTGTCTCAAATGCTATTTCCTTGTGAACCTGATTCCATCAATAAATTTGTTTTCGAGTAAAAATTAACTATTTTATGATTTTTTTAAAACCGTCCATCCTCTCTGCTGCACCCTGTATTATATTCTACTGTACTGCATGAGTTTCTGACCATAATACTTTTATGTTCATGATCATGAACGTCGTAAGCCACGTTTATAAAGTGTCTGAAAGGTTCCGACACCCCACGATAATTTGTGAGTTTTCCCCAGCTATTGAAAGGTCACCTTGAATATGATCTTGACAATGATCAAAGTCATTCGAAGGTCAAGTCTATTTTTCAAACGGAAGCCTCCTTTTTTGGCACCGTAAATGAAAAGAGCGGAAAATTTAACGTTCAAATTTAAATTTGGGCATTCTTTATTTATTTAACTATTTTATGATTCTTTTTAAAACCGTCCATCCTCTCTGCCGCACCCTGTATTATCAATTTTTTTAATTCATTATTAACGTTGGTCTCTTTATTTTAGATGGTAGAAAATTACAAGATCCTGGACATAGAAAGGTCCACCATGGTAGCAATGAGTTCCTTCCTGGATGGGGAAATTTCAGTGAACCATCTCTATTTCTTGTACGATGTTTGTATTCAACACCAAAATTTCTATTTTGTCAGCCATTGTTAGAGGTGTACAAAGCTCCATACACTTGTTAATGTGGAATGCAGATTTATAATATGGCGATCAATTAAAGCTAAAATTTATTAATTACCTTTTTTAAATTATTTATCAATCAAGTACGTGGAACCTACTGAATCTGTATTGCATTTTATTTATTGTTACAGCTTATTAAACAATATACTTTTTAGCGATGCAGCCGCGCAGGTAGAAGCCTAAATGCCGGGGCACCGCGGCTGCTATGATGATCCCAAAGAAATTTTGTTAATCCGATTTTTGAACTGCCTAATGCACTCAATTTGGATTCTGCGATGGAAGTTTTTACTGAACGAAAAGCAAGAGGCAGATTCAAATTAGAATAATTCTGTTACTTTGTAACGGGTGATTTTTTAAGAGGTATAGGATTTGATTTTCAGAGAAACACAAAAAAATTGAAAAAACGATTAAACCTTTATTTAAGTCGATAGAACGGTCGATATAATTTAATGTTTAAAGATTATTTCATGTAAATGTTGGCAGATGCTCCGCTTTAGATGGCCCATGCGCAAGATGCATTGGTAACTCTTGCAATGCTTCTGGCTGGTCTTCACTCCAAATGCGGCAATTTTGCTTGTTAACATACCCATTCAACCAGAAATGAGCTACGTCGCTGAACACAATTTTTCGATAAAAAGTGGATCTTCCTCCAACTTTGCCAGCGCCCATTCACCAAATTGGAAACGTTGTGGGAAGTCGTGTGGCTTCAATTCTTGCACCAGCTGTATCTAATAAGGTTTTATATCCAAATCCTGTCGCAAAATTTTCCACGTAGTGAAAAGTAACAGAGTCCCAATTGCTGCGAACGGCGGCGAATCGACCTTTCACGGTCATCACTAACACTGGCGGATACAGCCGCAATATTTTCTTCAGTCCTCACTCTACGTCTGCGTGTTGGTGGTTTAATGTCCAATAATGTAAACTGGGTTCGAAATTTAGTCACAAGCTTCCGAATAGCTCCCTCAGTAGGCCGACCAAATTGC